CAGCCAGAGCCACTGCCAGGCCAGATGCTCCTGGAGAAGATGTCAGCGCTCTCCATCAGCGATGACACATATGGTTATGATCAGCCCATACCTATCCCTCAGGACAGAGAGGTGACAGGAAGCCCTCATCACTGCGGTGACCTCGGGCACAACCCCTACTCGCTCCATCACCCCCACAGTTGGGACCACAGCTGCCTACCAGGATGCCCTTTCCAGCACCTGGTGCTGGCAGGAGGTGGAATGGGCCCAGAGCACAGCTGGCCTCAGGAGCGCTGCAGCACGCACAGGCTGGGTCAGAGGAGCCGCTGCCTCCCTGATAGTGCTCAGCAAGAACGGGCCCTGGAGACTCAGCACCATGTTCTGCCACAGTCCACAGCTCTTCGCCCTGACCTGCTTCACTCGTACAGCAAGCACCAGCAGCAGCACCCTTTCCCCAGCCAGCCCCCACAGCAGCCCTTTCTCTTAGACTCCAGCAATGGACTCGGCTTCTTCCAGGAAGCCCACGCTTATCCTGATGCCTCTTACAGTGACTACTGGCCCACCCCAGCTGCAAGGCCACCCTCTGCCCAGCAAATGAACATACACAGGCACCTGTGCTCCCTTTTCTCTTGTAGCGAGGTGAACTATGTCACGGCTTTGTACCCTGACATCAAGGATATCGCTAGCTTGACTTTACTGATTCAAAGACATAGAAACTTGTGACGCCTCCAGCGCAAACCTTTCCCAACAAGCACAAGTCCTGGGGCTAAAAGATGCTACTCTGAGGCTTACCTAAGTGTTATTAGAGGGCTTTATGGCAAGGATTATAGCTGTTCCAGGAGCACAAGTCAAAGCATCAACCAGGCATGACGCACGGGTCAAGTCAAGGCAAGGGCTGCTGTTCACTGCAGTGGGATCTCGTTCACCTCCCATGGAAGTGAAAGGAAGGGCTCAGGGCAACTAGGCTGTCAGCATCTGAGCCTCATTGGTGACTGAGTTCAGGATGACATAGATCTTCCTTAATGCCTTGACACACTAGACGTTTTTTAAGGCCTAACCTCTTCTTCAACTACTGAAAAAGAACAACAGTCCATGACTCCCAGTAGAGGGGTCTCCATAGACACCCCATGACTCCTTGCTCAGCTAGCATAAAAAGTAATTTGGCCTATTTCCCCTAACACAGGGCTCCGTTCTCTGCTAGAAAGCATCTTTGGGTTCATATTATTGCCTGACACAAGCCCAGCCCTGTATCAGTGAGCTTTCAAAACATTCATCTCATGTTTATAAACCAACGCTGTGAGTCAGTAGCAGAGGTGGTGGAGGTACACTGGAGCACTTGAAGACATCTGCAGGTATCTTTCTCAGGCAGCATGCACAATGGAAGTCAAATCAGGGAAGTATTTTTCAATGTAAATCCTGATGTGGACTGAGGGCTTGAAATTGTTAACTCAAAAAAGAAGAAACCCAGATCATGCCCAGGGGAATAAAAAAAAAAAAGCCCAAGATTTAAAGTGTCCCTGTTGTATCAAGCAAGAAAACTATTGTTGACTTAATCCTTAATTACCAAATGTGGTCCCATAATTCAATTATACAGCTGATTTATGATTACAAATATTTAAACTATGTTCTGTTGGGACATGTTTGATTTTCAGTAAGCTATAAAGCTGCTAATCTCTGTATTATTCCACTGAATTCTTCAGGTTATAATTCAAATATTAAAGTTTTCCTAAAAAACTTTGGTATAATGCCAAAAACTAAGTATGTCAGTATGACATGTTTTAAAAGTGCTTTAACACATTATAAAATGGTCATTTAGAACACTTTGTTCTGAATAATGTCATCTTTTTTCTTTTTTGTTTATTTTCTAATTTTTTTTTCCATTCCTCTTGGCAGTGATGCTTCATCAAGTCCAACATTTGGATGGGATTTATAAACTGTTTGACTCTGTAGTATCTGTTAGGTTCTTTGAAATTCAATCGGTGATGTTAGTCCCAGGCAGGAATTAAACATGACCCTCACTGACAACCCTGAATTCTCTTGCTTTTGAAAAGGTGACCGAGGAGTAGTGATTTACCTTTAGCAACATTATCACATGATGCATTTTTTGAAAGTGGTGATAGTTTGACCTGTTTCCTTCCAGAAACCATCAGCAGGTTTTTTTTTGGTGGTGGTGTTTAAAGAATCTTCAGGAAATAAGTATACTGTATCAGTTCAATCTCTTATTGCCATGTGGTTGGCTCCAAGAAATTCTGATTTGGAGTTTAGATGTAGGATTTATCTTCACCAAACAGTTTCTTCCGTATGTCATGAATTTTTCACTAATTATATCATAGCATATATAGTATAACTGGATCACCAGGCTTATAAATTTATCCACTGCATATTACATACAGATAAGAAATGCCATTAAAACAAAACTATGGAATAAATACCCTATGAAACACTTTGAAAAGTACTTGAGCTCTATAGCCATCGTTAGTTGTGCTGAAATACGTCACACACCACGCTTAACACACTGAAGTGACCCGAGACATTTCATGGATTCAATGCCTATGTTGTGCCTATGCAAGGGCAGGCCCCTTGTCTTGCCTGACAAGCTCTACCAGAGCTTTCCCAACTATAGCTGTACACATACATACGCTTGCGGAGAAAGTGCGATGTGGAGCAGAAAAATACCTTCCACAGACTCAAACAGAGCAAGTCCCAGATGACAGCATTCAGAAAATATATACGCAGCAACGGTGCAGGATATAACCGTACATATCAACATTTATTTTTATGTCTGGAATGTACATTACGTATTTCAATACAGAAAACATTTAAAATCTATAGGAAAATTGGCACGATGCCTTTATACAGCACCCTGGGCTTGCTGGAGACACGTGCATAAGCTTTTCTCCTTTTCCTTTGAGGATGCACAGGAACTTGGTGGTTGTTCAAAACCCTCTCTTAATGTTTAATAACTTATTTTTTTTTCATTTCTGTCATATTTACTGGGGAATCTTGCAGTAAAAGTCACAGAACGTGTGTTCTGCTGAGAAAGTGTCTGAGAAAATAAATGAGCCTCTGGTGCTAAAAAGAACTCGATTTCTCTTGGCTCTTCTGCTCATCAGAGGTTTTTTTCTCATGGACCTTTTGTTGGACGGGCAGCTGAGCAGCAGTGCTGTGTCACTGCCTGCTTGAGGGGAGCTCTGCCACTGGCCAAGAGCCCACGGAGAGCAGAGACTCTTTTGTTGTTCCACCACTGCACAAGCATTTGGAAGTCCAGAGTTTCTGCTGCAGAGCCTTTGGCACTTTCCAAAGCAGGAGGATTTCTTTTTGGCTTTGCTGGCTCCCGAGGTAAGGGAAGGGGCTGCTGACAGAAAGGAGGCGGCAGCTTTTGCACAGGCGGGGCAGGAGGCTGTTGCTATTTGGTCTCTCTGCTGAGATGCCTTCGAGTCCAGCTCTTGCTACCAAGTTGAAAATGAATCCATAAATCCCAATGGGCTCAGAAAGCCCTTGATGTTCTTTGCTTTTCAGTTGTCAAGACTCTTTTGGAAGAAGCTGGACGCAGCAGGAGCAACGCTCCAGGAGACGGGCTGCTTTCCGAAGGGAGATTTACAGAGTTGCCAAGTTAATTTTAAGATTAAAAACCAATAATAACAGTAATAATAAAAAAAAGTCATAAAAGGGACTCCTCTTCCCTTCTCTACTCGCACCCTTTCCCAAAAATGTTAGTAAGCCACAGAGACCCTCCCCTTTATGAGGGGCTAGGGAAACTAGATACAAATATTTCACTGAAAAGTCTTGGGTGGAAGTCACTCCCGCAACAGCTCCTCAGCATAAAAAGGGAGAAAGAGGGTGGGGTCCTCTGCACCCAATGCAGCCCTGGGCAGCTCACAGCATCTCTTTCCCATCTCTCCTTAAATACAGAAATTTCTCCCTCACAGAACACTGATGACAAGTCTACTAATTTGGTGAGCTCAGATACCATAAAAATTACCACCATAAGATAGTCTGTGAAGTAGATAATCATCTTGATCCCTATCAAACACTTGTATTTGCCAATTATTCTGAGAAGTTTGCTAAAATTTTAACTCACTTCCCATAAGAGCTGGCATGACTTATACGCAAACATTTGAACTACTCACAAACAACTACATAGAACAAGACATGTTTCACAGCTTCTCTCCTCTTTAAAAATGCTGGATTGCTAGGGAAAAACAAGCAAGCCCAGTGCTTCACTAACTGTGACAGACCACCTCTGCAAGTCAAAAAAAACCCCAAAGCCGCTGGTGAAAGCCTTTAACAGACTCACTCCTCCATTGGACACAGGTAATTTACATCCATACCTCTAAGACAACAAATCAGGTATTATCTTTCTCCGAGTGCAGGAGCCAGAACATCTCAGTTTTACTCCAGGAGCCGTAACTCATTCACTCTGCCACGGCAAGCCCTTTGCCTCTCTGCCTCAGGGTACATCTGCTGTGTTCACTCCCATATATACAAGACCGCTGTAGGGTTTACCTCCTACATGCTGGTGGGACTGGGATGCTTTGAACTCTTGAGAAAACCAGTTTAATATTACAGCACCATTGTCGTTAGCGTTATTAAGAAAGCTCTATGACTGGCAATTGATAGTGAAGGGATTTTTATAGCATTTTAGTCATGTCCCTTCTCCACCCTGAGTTGGGCTCACTGCCTCAAAGTTGTGCAGCAGCCTCAGAGGAACTCTTTATAAGATGTACTGGCTTGGCAAATGCAATCAAAATGGACATAAAGATGGAGCAAACCTGTGAACACAGCAATTTGTGGAGACAGCATACACAAGGCAGCAAGCCAGAAAGCCAGGACAATGCACACAGGGCTGGCAGGCCTTTGAAAGCAGTAAGGAAATTAGATGATGTGCCTCTGCTGATGAACGGTGGCATCAGAATTGCTCACCGTAACTGCACCACCTCTTTGGCTTTCCTTCATGTCACACAATATCCTACGCGTTTTTTTTTTTTTTCCTCCCATTCTCACTGGGCTCAGCATTTCCATCACATTTTATGGAGTGAGTCACAAGTTACAAAATGCTTCCCCATCTCAGCCCCTCTCCTTCCACCTCTGCAAAACCACACCCCCACCCACTACCACCCCAAACTCGTTTTGTGCTCCTTTTACTTCTCTGCTCCCTCCTTGTCCCGGGCTCTCACCTCCTCCCTTGCTGTGCCATGTACTCTTCCTGCTCAAGCCCAGATAGCGTCCCATTTCTCCCTTCACTCCTGCCCTCCAGCTGAAGGGTTTTTTAGGGGTTTCAATTTTTTTTTTTAAATTTGTTTTTTCCTCTTAATTTAAAAATTGGTTTGGGAGTTTTTTTTTTGTTGTTGTTGTTAAAACCACGACATTTCAGCCTGGCAGAAATCTGATATGCTCAGGCTGTTTTCTCATTTCACCTTAAAGCCGTCTTCCTAGGAAAAGCTCTTTGGGGAAGGAAACAGAAGCAAAGTTACATTCACAGGTGCTTGTGGCTTACTTTGTACAGCTTTCTCTTCTCTAAGGATCAAAACTAGCGGAAACTCAGTGGCCATAGGCTCTTAACTACCTGAAATCCTACTGTAAAAGCAACATTCATCCTTCACTTATCATCACCAAGATTGTATGTTTGAAGGAGTTACTAACACTACTGGTTTCATACAGAAGACAAATGGGCATTAGGACACTGAGTGGCAGAACAAAACCAGAAACTAGAAGCAGGCAGC